TATTTATTTTTTTGCTATAGGGCGCATGCACTCAGGATCTTGGGCATGCACGCACATACGCCTGGCATGAGTTTTAAGCCACCGGATCTGGGACGCGAATCGTGGTTGACTACATGGGAGTCCAGCGACATAGCTATTATGCTAACTGCTGGTCCCTGTACAGTAGAACTCTTGGAAATGTCTGAGAGAGAATTCAGAATATTCATAGTGACAAAATAAAATGAGATGCAAGAACTGAGAGAAAATGAACTCCAGAAGATGAAGGGGAAAAGAGACAACGAGTTCCAGGAGGTGTTGAAGTTCTTCCATGACCTGAAAGAGGAAATACAGACCTTAAAAAAGAATCAAATGGAACTATTAGAAATTAAGTCTGCCATTCAGGAAATCAAAACTTCCCTTGAAAGTATTAAAAGAAGATTAATCCATAAAGAAAATTGAAAGAGGCATTAAAATATCCAGACTCAACTAATACAAAGGACCCCTAATAGAATCAATCCAAGAAGATCTTGTCCAAGGTACATCATAACCAGACTGGCCAAATCTACAGACAAAGACAAGATACTAAAACTGGCAAGAGAGAAACATTAGGTTACTTATAAAGGTTATCCCATCAGATTAACCTTAGACCTCTAGTCAGAAACAATGTGAGCAAAGAAAAATGGGAAAATATATTCGAAATGTTAAGTGAAAAACAGTTTCAACCAAGAATATTATACCCAGCAAGATTATCTTTCATATGGAAAGAAAGGATAAAAACATTCTCAGATAAACAAGACCTGAAAGAATTTGCCAATAGCAGATTTTCTCATCAAGAAGTTTTGAAAGGAGTGCTCTACCAGGAAAATTAAAGACACATACATAAATAAGAGAACCAAAGGCAACCAAGAAAATGACCAATTTATTGCTATGGCCAAGAAATATCAATAATAATGTTGAATATTAATATCCAGGATTTAAATGGAAAAACTGGACCACAGTGACACAGCATATTTAAAAGAAGAGAGTATGAACATAAGACTGAACTGGTGAATTTTATGACTTTTTAAATGAAGTATTATTGACTTTTTTTACTATGCTTTGTTTTCTCAATTTAAGCATTTTACTTTCTTTTGAGTTGTTGATAAGTTCAGCAATTTGTTAAAATATTTTCTTGTTTGTTTCTTTAAATGGAAACATATTTTTTTTTTCTTCCTTCCTGATTCCACTGTAATTGGAAAATATTTGGGAGTATTCTTATTTTGTGGCCAAAGGATTATTTGCATAAGTTCAATAATGCTTGTTGCATTGAATCAGAAATTGGAAATACTTATTAGACAGGGCTTTGAATGCCATATCTGAAGATTAATCAGAAAATTATGGTAAGAAGGTGGCTCTCAAGTAAGCGAACAGAAGCTCTTAGAAAGATGGCCTGGCACCATAAATAGTTCTCCTGGCAGAGAGGATTACAGCAGGTATATGAAAGAATGTATAACAAAATAACCTAGACTTTTCTAGCCCAACATTGTAATCAGTAGAAATTGCAAAAGAGCAACCACAGCAGAGGATTATCTTGAAAACGACTTTGAAGGAAGAAAAAGAGACTGATCTTTGCTAGCAGATGGTATATCACAGAATACTTGGTAGGCAGGGCTGAATTGAGAAGGTTTATGTGTGATTTGTGTGCTGGGCATTTGATTTTCAACAAATTGAGTAGTTGAAATGTAAATATTTTCTCAAAAATATTTAAAACCATACTGTCTCTGTTGTTATAGAGTCACAAACAAAATTATAAGAAATATTTTGGACATTATCTTTAAAATTCAGTATTTTGAAATTTTGAAAGTTGTTTATTAACTGCTAAGAACTATGGAGTATGACCTAAAATTTTTTTCATATGTCAAGTAAATTTTTGTGGAAAATGTAAAAATAAATAAATTAATGAAGAAAAAAAACACTTTAGATTTAAGTTTTAAATATTTCACCACGCAAAAGCAATATTTCACAGATCAAGTTTGGCATCTATCTCAGGATGGGCCTGGGTTTGTGCCTTTCCTAAATGGAATGGGGAAAGACACAAATTAGCATAATAAAGTAGGGACTTGAGAGCCAATAGGATACTTTACCTTAAAATTTTTTTTTTTTTAAATTAAAAGACACAGAGAGACAGAGAGAAATTGAGCAAAGGAAACGGTGGTAGCCCTACTCTCTAGAAATGAATCTGAAGGGAGAAGTCGTAGCAGAAAACCTTCATTTTTAGTCAAGGAAAGCAATATTTTGTAGCTCAAGTTTGTATCCATCTCGGCATGAAATGTGGTTTTAATGTAAGAATAATACTGGTCTGTGGTCTGTGGATTCTGGTGGTATACCATTTTCCAAAACAAAATTCTCAAGAGATTTCTAAGTCAATATCTCAAAAGTCTCTAAACCTAAATGATAATAAGATAAAATAGTGCTCAAATAAATAAACATAAAACTCATTGCAAAATTTTATAATTTGAATGACTTTATTTCATTCTAAAATAAAAAAACAGATATGAAGCATACAAAATATGTGTACTTTCCATAAAAAAAGAGTCATCTAGGAAAAGCAATCTCATGAGGTTAGTGTTTGAAAAGGAAGGTCCTACTGGACACAGGCAGGAAGGAAATGCAAATTGAATCATAGTAATAATCTATTTGGATCTTCAGCAGCTGTAGGAAAAAAATCCTATTCTGAATATCAGATGAAAAGAAGTTTAGCCAGAATCCAGAGTGCCTGGGAGGAGATGATGAACTGGTAGAAAAACAAAGCCTAGAGAAGTGACTTAATTGTGTGCTTTGAGATTTACTGGGGCCCAACAGGGGTCAGACTTGAGGTCCTCCTTGTTCACAATCTATAAAAAATGATATAGACTGGTTAATTCTTCTGACAACACAGGGTTGAAGGAAGCATAGCCCTTCAACAAAAAGTCAGCAAAATTCAGTGTTTGAGGCCATTCCCTTGGCCTGAGAATTCTCAGAAATTGCTTGATGCTAGTTCATCAGTACTCACATTTGGGGGGCAGTTTATGAACTACAGAGTAAGTGTAGAAGCCCCAGTCAGAAGTTGTTTTTGGCACAGAAGGGAAGATTACACTGGTGTAACTTGAATTCCTGGATTGTTTTAGACAATGCTAAGATCTGGACCTCCATTATAGATAAAGCAAATTTCCCAGCCTCCTATTTCAGTCAAGTCAAAAAGAAAGCAAATGAGAACAGTGCACAGACATTTTGAGTGTGATAGGACCCTTTACCTCTAGCTGCCTTTGAAGTGTAGCCATGGAAGGGGGCTGGAAGTCTGACACAGTCTTCGTTCTTGAAGAGTGAGTCAGAATATGAACATGTCTTGAACAGTCCAGGAAATCACGGCATGCCAAGCCCCAGTTTTATTCTTTCTTGCAGCTCCATGGAGCCACAGCAGAAATGCTATCTATCTTCTGAAGGAGAAATGAGATATATCCAAATTATTTGCCATTAAGTATTGTATTTGTTTCCTTAATATAGAGGGAGTGGGCGATTCTTATAAGAGGAAAGGCCACCAACACTCAGATGTGTGTTTTTTTCTTTCATCCCACCACTTCCCCTTTCTCCAATCAAAATAGTCAATTTGGGCTTAGCTTTAGTGCCTGTTTCTATTTTGATATCAGTAGAAGAGAGTTGTGGACACGCCACCTGATTTTGGAAGAACTCATTCCTTATTAAACTATATTTTGTGCTGTTTGACAGCTAGTGGAGTTGGATTTCCAAAAGCGGTATTTGGGATGGGAGTAGAGGATGGCATGGATTTTCTAAAAAATGAAGAGTTCTAGGATCTAGCTTGTGGTTTTGGAGTATATTATTTTGATGGGGAGGAGTGCATGAAGCCATTCAATTTGGCAAGGACTTAGGACTGTGAATGGTGAAGTCATTCAAAGCAATTTTAGGATTAAAGTAAGGCTTCTTACCAGGTAACAAAGGGACATTAACATGGGAAAAATGATCTACATTCAGGCTGATGGATGATGGACACATAGGTGTGGAGAGCAAGTTAATGATCTGAGACTCCAGGGAAGAGGATTTTCTCCAAAAGGGCAGGAAAGCAATGGCCTAGAAGCTGTCAGGTAGCTTTATGAAAATTTTTCTTAGACATTCTAGAAACACTATCAATATATCACATCAACACAAGCAGCATAGTTACTAGATGCCTCAGGGTTTGAAAGGCTGTGAACCTTGGCTGGTAAGAACACTTTCTGTGGAGTTTAATGATGTAGGAGAAGGAATATTTTGAAGAATGGTCATTCCTAGGACTTCGGTGGAGATAATTTGGAGCAGGATAATGAAAAGATGAGGCTCAAAGACTAGAATAAAGGCCACATTATGTGTTGATAATAATTTAGAAAAAATATCAACCCTGAGTACGGTCTTAAAAAAAGACTAGAAATTGAGGAAGAACCACATGAGCTGGAAGGAAACAAAGAAATAAGAGAAATGTAGTTAAATTTTTAGCAAATTATTTTAATGCTCTGCAAACCTGCAACATGAGATTTCTATTTCTGGTAAAGAGGTCCTCACTGAGATCATCTAGTCCTGTGGGAACTGGCTTTCCTCTCTGAACTTCAGTTCCCTTTATAGCAAAGCTGAGGTTCACTCTAGTGATATGAATACAAGTTTTACTCAATTAGAGAGTGCATACTGTGTTGTATAAGTTATCTTCCTTTTCAAGTCATTCAGAGTCCTGACAATATACTAAAGGTGACAGCAAGGATTTTGTAGCACTTGGAAGGCCTCAGAAGAGGGAGAAGGAGCTGATTCTGAGAATGAAAGGTTGAATGATTGTCAGGCGGGGGGCCAAGGAAAGGGGTAGCAATTCTGCCAATTCACTCCCCTTCCAAACACTCCAACTTCCCATCCGCTGCCAAGACACATTTTATTTTTCTGACATGGAGTATGTATATAATTTTAGCCTCAATTTTTAAAGAACAAGAAGGTTTATTCTGTTTACATCTCCTTTTACTCCCACCTAGTACAAACATTGGCCTCCAGCCTGGTGGTGACAACAGGATCTTACAAACAAAATTGGAAGTGGATGGCTGAGTAAATTTTCCCCTGAACACTGACATTTTAACCAGGTAGGTGGGGTAGCAGAGGACCCAAACTGCAAGGTAACGGGTGAAAAAACAGCCACCACCACTTAATAATTAACTTTTCATTTGTGAATCTGGCATTGTTTGTCTGGTCCTACATCTGGACTTCAGCTCATTTAAGGACTTGGATGGACTTTGACTGAAATGGGAGCTGTTTCAGTATGTTTCATGTATGTACCCCAAACACATGGCTTAGCTTCTTCATGAGCAAGCGTGATTGATACAATAAAGGGACAGAATGTATGAAGAATTGGACAATGGAAAATACATGAGTACATGAATTACAGACTAACATTATTGAGCACTCATGGTATGTCAAGGCCCAACTATGCTGATGAAGGGAGCCAGTAGGCTCTGTATCTTGTAGTTGTTAATCTCATTTCTTTTAATTCTCATGTGGCTACATATCAACTCTAGCAAGCATGTCCAAAAATATAATTTCTACTACAGTAGGCAGGAATCTATGACATCAAAGATCTTGGATCATTTCTCATGTATTAAAGTTTCTGAAAAATCATTATATTTCATGTTATATTTCTACAAAGAGAGCGATTCTATTTTCTAATAGGTTGATTGCTAGCATGTGGTGCACACTGTATGTATTTTAAATGACATGCATGTTAATAACACTTTTTTTTTCTTCCTTCTATGACAGGTAAAAACACAGAGAGAAAGACAGAGCAAGAAACAGAAAGATGAAACACCAGCAGGGTCTTCACACAGCACTCTTTGCCTCAGATGGCCTGGATTTGGGGCACCATGCTCTGTGTCTCAAGGAGGCTGTGAGATGTGAACCTAGGACCCTCCTGTGTGGGTCCAGTTTCTCAGAGTGTTGAGTTACTGCTGTACCACCAACAGGTCTTTGCATGCACTTTTAAATGAATTAAGTTATCATGAATTAAGAACTCGTGTTCTCTGTAGCCAATTCTGAGAAATATAAAAAAAGCATACATGGGGACCAGCAGTTAGTGTAATGGCTATGTTGCTGGATTCCCACATAGTTGACCGTGGTTTGCGTCCCGGACCCGGTGGCTTAAAACTCATGCCGGGCATGTGTGCGTGTGTGCCCAAGATCCCGAGAGGAGAATGGAGGAGAAGGGATTGCGGCGTGGCCATCCT